CCGCGGATCCGGTTTGTAACCCGAGATGGTTCGCAACCCGAGGTAAATTTCTGGGGCCAGAGCTGGTCGTAACCCGAAAAATTCGTTAACAGAGGCGTTCGTAACCCGAGGTATCACTGTACTTCTTGACAGCCTTAGACACTGTCCTTTTCATATGCTTGTGCAAATGCATAAAGTTACTTTACTGATTTACATTGACTTTCTGGGAGACACACCAAAAACTAACTTTTTTTTTTAACATCCTGTTGTGACATAAGCAAGCAGTCTACATCTGCTTTTTGTCTTAGTGCAAATCTGAAGTGTGCTTTCGCTGACTGCAGTTGTTCCTCCTTCTGGGAATTTGGTACAGTGCAGTTGTGTGTAAATCCATTATCTTGCTAATAAAAACTTGATTCAGTCTCAATAACATGCATAAAAAAAATAAAAATTCTAGAGCAGTGTTTTTTGAAGTTGGCAACTTTAAGATGTATGAACTTCAACTCCCAGAATTCCCCAGCCAGTGCTAGGAGTTGAAGTCCACCTATCTTAAAGTTGCCAACTTCAAAAAACACCGCCTTAGAGATATATAAGTTGTACCTACAGCTGTCTCTGCTACCCTATTTTGCCCAGGGAGAGATCAGGAATTAGTCACTCCCAAAGTAGCCATAGGATGCTATTCTAATTTGTAGATCACAAGCTGTATAGGTCCACTTCATATTCCCAGTGCTTCTGACACGTGCTCAGTAATATTTCAGCAGCTATATAACTGAGACCAGTGTTCCTACACAGGATACGGGGCAGCTGAAAGAGAGAGTGGTTTTAGAGCTACACACATGCCACAACTCGGTATGATTCTGAGTTTTAAAAAAGAATTAAAACAGATTAATTTATATTCTTTATTTAAAAGGGAAGTTTTACAAATACATAGAACTTCCTTTGGCACTGGGAAATCCAACCTGCTTCATAGTAATATGATGAAATCTAAGGCATAAATGCAGTCTTTAAAAATCCCGCTTTAAAACATACACAATATAGCACAGTTAAACACCAGTTAAATATTCCATTTTATATAACTTATTAGTAGCAAACGTCAAATAAGAACAGCACCACAGTGGAAAAATAAATTGGTAAATGCTGATTATTCAATTTTGTTGTGTTACCTATTGTGTGTCTATGGATGATTCAAATAACAAGATCAGAAGCTTTAAGTTACCTGGAATATTGTCATTTTAATCTGTTGGTACAGTGCTACAAAATAACAAAGATATTACTCTATAACATGCTCCATGAATGAGATTTAAAATGAACAGTAATTCTGCCACCCATTCAGTTGTAACAGTAACTACCACAACGTAAGTTTGAATTCCAATATTTCACTACAAAAAAGCTGATCCTATTAATGCTAGCCCCACATCTTCCCCCAAAAGCATGAGGAAGGATTTATAATTTAAGGCTGTACAGTACTTCAGATTCAATGCAGAAGAGGTACTTCAGAATTTATAGAACTCAGGAGTGTGAAAACAGCTGTATCTCTTTCCCAGTTCACTCAGCTGCAGTGGGGAAGCTTTGGGAGAGACTTCTGCAGTCACTTACACCTGGAAACAGACAAGACTGCTTTAATGAGCCTCAGGTGCTGTGTTTACACTTCTGTCATTCTGAATCATTGCTCAGTTCTATTATCAAGTTCATCAAACTCTTCACAACAGTATTTATACCCTACTAAGAACATTTTAAATATATATATATGGGCTTTTTATTGCACACTGATTTGCTAAGGAGCTCAGCCGATTGTGCCTATGAATCCTGTGTTAGACACTAGAAACTATGGCAGAGCAAGCCAGTCACTTCATTCTTCCTTTGTGAATATCTAGGACCTAAAAGTTCTCTTGCAATTCTTACTGCAATTCTTTTTTCTTTCATATGGCCTGCCAATGCTTACAGTATAACAAGAAATCAAAAAGATGTATTATTCTAATCAAATCCAAACCTTAATACACATGTTTAATACACATATCCTGTGAATTAAGCCTGTACTGCTGAGCTAAGTATTCCAGGCACTTCATATACTCATACCTGAACCTTAAAACACCCTTGTAAGAAAATCATTGTTATCTACATACATAATATGTTAACATATAATTATGAGCAATTAAATATAAAACAGTTAAGATGCCCAATATCAAATATTAGTATCTGTCAAAGCAGTTGCCAAAGCCTAGTGGCAGATACCATTACCTCTTTGTGGTAAACTCCCTATTTCATTGTGACATTAAAGCAGTGTTTCTCAACTTTGGCAACTTTAAGATGTCTGGACTTCAACTCCCAGAATCCCACAGCCATCATTGCCAAGGTTGAGAAAGACTGCATTAAAGCGTATACAACCCATAACAAAATGCATTTTTTAATGTGTTATGAAATGAATTAGTCATGGAACAATAAACTTGCACTTAACTCTTCTTGCAACCGCTATCTTAACACTCTTTCGGTAGTTTTAAACATCCCTAGGTTTCCAAGTTTAGAGGGTTTCTTCTTTTAATATTATCAACTTTTAGCCTCTGAAATGCCTTTAAATTCTTCCACAGATAAAAACAATTGCAAAGCATAGAACAGAACAGAACAGAATCACCTCTAATGTTACACTGATTTTGTGAGGATTTTTTATTTTTAGCAGTTCTCATACCAGTTTCTGTAACATCATGAAATACATAAACAGCATGTGGCGTTTAGGGCATGGATGAGGACTGCTGACTGAGGAGGACTGAACATTAATTCAAGTGCTTGTACATCACTGGAATGTAGGCTTTTATCTCTTCCCTACATGGCATGCAAGAACATGCTCACTGATCAACAGTATTCCAATTAAAATTAACCCTGTGAAATAAGTCAAAAGAAACAGCCACATTTCAAAATAACAACAATAACAGCATCAACAACACTAGTACAATTTCGATACTGCTCTTCTAGAGGAGCCCGGCAGGGTGGCTTACAATTAAAATTAGGCTTAAGTAAAACCACAAGGGCAGAACATAACAGAAATGGTGTCCAATAAAATTATTTGCCCATGTTAGCAAGTGATTTCAATCCAGAGCAAGCCTGGCCCATAACGGCCACAGAGCTGAGAATTGGGCAGATCTTTGCTCACAAGACTGACTAATCCCACCCCACAAGATATATGAGGCTATAAATTGAATATTCTCTGTGAACTGTTAAAACTCCAAATTATCTAGCTGCATCATTTTGTTGCATCACGTTTCAATTTATCACCTCTCTCCCCTTATGCAAGCAGAGCACAATCTCCTGAATGGAGTGGCCCTTAACAACGTCTTACTTCAAATATTTATTCAAGCACTGGCAATTCTGACAGCAAAGACAAAATCTGATCTCCATGTCGATATAACCAGTTCCAACTGACCCATTTCTTCAAATATTTCAACAAAAGCACCAAGATCTAAGCATTCACTTACTAACAACTTTCGGTGTATCCTCTGTATAGAAATGAATTGGGAAAGGGAATCTTTTACATTTAACAAAAATATCAAAACCAGAGTTTTTTCCTACCACTTGTACAACCTGATATAAGCAAACAGAGGTCTGACTCCTACAGAAATGTATATATAAATATAAATGCTTGAAGTTTACTGCTTGTTAAGATGTCCTGTATTTAAGGCAACAGTACCTTTAGTCTAGACAGTTTTAAATATTCCACACCCCTCAGAAAGATCAGTGCCTTGATGCAGCCCAATTGTTCACCTACTGAGCCATGCCTTCTCCCTCTACTTCTGCAGAGGCATTCTGTGCTTCTGAAGCAAAATTACAACTACATCAGCTCTAATCAGATAATGTCAAGCAGTTTGCCTATTTGCATACAGTCAAAGCTGCAGAAGATGCTTTGCTGTGAATTGTGGCTAGCGTTCTCATTAGTGCACTCAATTGACAATATTTGTTTTCAAAACTGAAGGTGGGGATGGAAAGACTGAGTGGAGGACGACACAACGTTAAGCACGGAAATACCTTCAAACGGCCCAACCTTGACTAGCAATGAAGCAGAATTATATTTGCAGTAAACCAATGTAATTCATGCTCTTTGACAAGGCAGACCTAATTAATATTGTTTTTGTTTTTAATTTTATTCAGTTTTCATGGGACCTGTACCTGAAGCATTTAGAAATACCATATCTAATAAATTGACACACCAAAATAATTCTTTTAAACATTTTCAATTTTGTTTGGGATATTTTCCAAAATGAACCAACAGTATTTGGGCAGAAGCATAGGCTAATAATCCTCTTATGAGCTTTGCCGAACCCAAATTATTCAAAGCAGTACCACTCAGAAAAAACGTGATTTTTCAACTTGGCAGGAAAAGGGAATAAATAGGCCCACAACCTGTAGCTGCTTGAGCATAGACACCAGCTCTGAGTTTCTATAATTGTAATGACTACTCTCCCCCCGCTCATTAAGTCTACATACTCCAACATGTACTGGAGCAGTGTTTCTCAACCTTGGTAACTTTAAGATCTTTGAGCTTCAACTTGAATTCCCCAGCCAATATTAGAACATGGAATTCAATGCCTATAAACTTCAGAAAACAGCTGCCTGAATGTAGTGAAATTATGGCCAAATAAAGCTCTACATATAACATCTGAGAAATGCGTATGTTTGCAAAGGTAAAAGTACCAGAAGCAAAACTGAGTTATGTATTAATGTTACAGCAGGCCTTTGGCAACAGTTCCAGGGGCTGTTGGCAAAGTCCAAAGCAATTCTTCCAAATTATTTCGAAGTATACACAGGCTTATTTAGTAGTTTCAGTTCAACAGTATCCTGAAGCACTTTTGGAGCAATCTTTCTGTTTAACTGCTTTACTGAAATGCAGTTCTACACAGTAAGGAACATACCTTAAACATGATTGGCATAGTCAACAGTGCTACATGTAGAGTTCTCTGCATAAGAACTGCTTCGCTTAATATTTCTACAAATAACTCAAAACATCTTGGCACATGCAGTGGCTTGAACTTAAATATAGTGTCTTTTCTTTCCATAGTACCCAGCTTTGCCTTTAATATGTATTACCACATGGGTTGATGGAGGTTTGACAACCCATATTACGACTCTTAACTGGTACACGGAATAACGTCCCATCAGAACACATGCAAAGTTTGTATCGTTCCCAGTCACCATTGTTAAATTGTTCCTTGTGAGAAGAATTTGGCAGCCGGGATACACTGATCATCACACTTCCATTTAGGATAATGGAGTTGTCCTAGGAAAGGAAGATGTCAAAATCAGTAAACATATCTGTCTCCATAACCCATACTTCAGATCATATGAAGCTTTCTTATTTTGCATCAATGGAAGATTTCATCCAGTCCTACTCTAAGGGTAGAAACACTTTCCTAACTAACTACATAATATCCCTTAGTACTCATTAAACAGCAATGGCAGGGACAGAGCATAAGATCTTATCACTGGACTATGTTTATAGAGTTGGGTGTTTGCAGAATGTATGCATAATATTTATTTATTAAATTTATCCCTGCCCATCTCCCCCTAATGGGGGACTCTGGGTACTCATTAAACAGCAATGGCAGGGACAGAGCATAAGATCTTATCACTGGACTATGTTTATAGAGTTGGGTGTTTGCAGAATGTATGCATAATATTTATTTATTAAATTTATCCCTGCCCATCTCCCCCTAATGGGGGACTCTGGGTGGCTTACAACTCATTAAAACAATAAATTAAAATACAATTACATAAAACCTAAAAGCTATATAAAACAATTACTAAAAAAAGAAAGAGTCCAGGAGGCCGATGGTTCGGAGCAGCAAATGCCAGGGCTCTAAGGGGCTAGCCAAACCCACACATGATGTCCCACCCCAGGCCAGATGGCAGAGCCAGGTCTTCAAATCCCTCTGGACGGCCAGGAGTGAGGGGGCCAATCTCACCTCCAGGGGCAAGATATTCCAAAGACTGGAGGGTACAGCAGAATATATATATAATATATTCTGATACTAACTGACCTGCTCTGGATTTCCTAGATTAATGTGCAGAAGAGAACTTAATTATCCATTAGTCTTCATGCTTTTTGAATATTCTAAGGCTATTCTCAGTTTAAAATAGTATGAAAATACTACTTACCATACCTATTTGAGAGACAATATTTTGAATATTTTATATAAATAATGTAAACCACATCTGAATTTTTAAGTAGGAAGCAGTACTATAAAATGTAAATTGCCATTATTTTTGTGCAGATTAATGTGAAAATAAGATGGAATGGTTTACCAGTGAACACAAGCAAAATAAAGAGAATAGATTAATACATCCATCCTTTTCAAAACAGATGTTTTAATGCAGCTTGCTTTCATTGTGTCCAGTTCTCTATTTTCTACTCACCAGGACAGAAAGATGAGTTATAACTAAATACATAAACAAACATGTCTCCAACCCTCCTTTCTTTACTGGAAATGTTCAAGTGACACCCATCTGGGTGCTTTAATTTGGATTCCTGAAAATTAAAGAGGGTTGGATTTCATGGTCTAAATGGGTCATTCCAGTGTTATGATTCTATGAAATTGTATGGCATCTTTTATTTCCCAAGTTTCAATAAAGCCAAATAAGAAGACTTGAGATGAGGCTTTTAATTAACAGATTTTATTGGCCAAGGAAACCTTCTGGATGGCCCAAGCCAACACCGTGGCAGGAGTGTTGCCCAGAACCACACTTTGCAAAGCAAGCAACAAAGATTTTAT